TGCGTGCGTGCGTGCGTGCGTGTGTAATGTTTTAAATAGCATTCACTAATTAGCGTTAATTTTTTGTAAAAAATTAAAGTTCTAAATCTCATCAAAGCTCAATGAAGCAGTAGTTACTGCAGCAGTGATTGCTTCATTAGGCATTATAAAAAAATTTATTCTTTTTAACTCAGTTTTTTGCAAGAAATAACACTATATAATTTGTGGATGCTATTTAAGATACACTCTGTATATACATATATAATATGTAATAATTAAATTGCGATTTATTTTACTGAATAAGTGTTCAAATTTTTTATATTCTCTACATATAAATATATTTTTAATATATTTTTAGATGTATTTTTCAGTCGATGTAGAATTAAAACGTTTTAAAATAATTCCACAATTGTAGTTCCTTAGTAACTGACATTATATACGACACTTACATGTAATTAATACAATAATACTACCAATACCAACTATCTGCTGCAATAGTTGGTAGTCGAAGGATAAATATCGCCATGGAGGGAAGTCAGTGTTTTGATTCTGGCTGTTATAGGGAAGACATATATCACTGATTCACCCTCATTGCTTATAGAAGGCAATAGTTAGGGTAGTAGGATGTTGGGAGGGCCGAATAGACATGTAGAATTTATTACTCCGCTCGATATATATGATTATTTAAATCTTTTTCAGACCTTCTTGTCGCATCATTCAACATTATCGCTTTAGTAGCTATTTAAAATTATCACTCAGCTTTTTTTCCCTAGTTAATTCTTTTCTAAGTATGTATTTTTTATAATTTTATTATTCTGCTCGTTTATTGTATGTGTGAAATTCTAAAATCTATCTAGGATAGATTGAAATATAAATAGCAATTCTGTTAGTCAAAACTTTAAATCTATATTCTATTTTTATTTTCTTATAGAAATGTTTATACTTAATAAATTGTGTTATTTAATTCATTCAAATATAAAGCTGGTTTCGTGCAAGTTGTGCTTATACAAAATTTTGACACAATTAAAAAATAAATTTTTATAATATTACAGAATCTTTTAATTGCTATTATAATTAATATCTAAATTTGTGCTTCTAAAATAATATATTTGTTATATCCATATGTTTTACATTTATAATAAAAAAATCTCATGATCCACTTTTTATATGCGATATTTGTTTAGAATTAAGCATAAGAATAATAATAAACTCAATTATATGCATACAGCTTAATTGAGTTTATAGGTCACAATTATACATTGCCTTGTGTATGTACATACATATTCGTATAAGTTTCATATATCATTATGCAAACAATAGAAATGGTGCAGCCTTTCTCTGTTTTTTCCTCCCCTTCCCGCTCTTCCCCCCGTTCTTCCCTCTCTTCTCTTTTTCCTTTTTTTCAATTATTTGCGCGTGCACGCGCGCACACACACACACACACACACATGCATGTTACATTATACACAACTAACACTTGCATACTTATACACGCATTTGGTATTCCTATATACATATACACACATCTTTTTTATATAGGTTTATAAAATTATATGTAGGTTCTTAAAATTTATTATTATTTATTATTAATTTTATATAGGTTTATAAAATTATATATATTATTTATTTTATGAAAAAAACAAATTTGATGTAAAAATAGCCATTTATTAACTTTAATTTTTCTATATTTAAACACAATTTTATTTATAGATATATTATTGATTAGTAGAGATATCAAAAAGACCTTTTTGTAAATATTCTCATTCGGTTGATAGAATCATCCAAGTTCACGGATTGAGACGAAGGTTAGATTCTGTTCGTGACAAAAATATTCAAAGCACAAGGGTACATTTCACGCCTAATTTCTCGTGAATTTTATCCTGAATATTCTTCGTTTTCGATTTTATGCGGGCCACGTGTCATTTATCTCACAGGCGTTGGGAATTCTTATCACTTGCAGGTGGTTCTCATTTCAATGTCAATTTGTGTATCAATTGTGTGTCAATTGTGTGTTATTATGTGTTAATCAATGCTAATAAACTTTTTTGTTGCATATACAATTCTTATAATTGTAAAAGAAAAAATTGTCCAAAAAGTTTTTAACAAAAACAAATTTTCTAAGAAATACATACAATTTATCACACAATTCGCAATTTTTATTGTAATAAATTTTTTTAAATAAATTGAAGTAAAATTTTTATAGCTAAAATATAAAAAAAAGTCATAATCTTTTTACTACCATTTTTCAATTTATATGCTTATATGCGTGTTTGCATATATATTACAATACGTTTATATGCATGTTTGCAAATATTATAAAAAAATACATGTAAAATTACATGTATTTGCAAAGATTTAATTTAAAAAAACAAATAACATCAAAACGTAAAGATACATGGTCTGTCCTAAAAGTAATCAGACTAATTCTGCAAAAACTGTTTTATTGAAAATACACTTAATATTTTTTAAAGTAAAATATTTGAGCGTCGATACAGCGATTCCAGCGTTGCTGTCACTCTTATGGTAACAGCGCAGGAAGTCTTGATCAAACATGCCTTCCAGAGCACTTGTCGCGGCTGCTTGGACCTTTTTAATTGTCCCATCATTATCCGACACTGTCAGATGATTAAAAAGATGCAAGCAGCCACGACGTGCTCTGAAAGGCATATTCGGTCAAAATTTCTTGCGCTGCTACGAAGAGTAGCCGCAACACTGAAACTGCTGTATTGACGCTCAAGAATCCTACTTTGAAAAATATTACTTAAGTGTATTTTCAATTATAATTATTAATTTATTAATAAATTCAATAAAACAGTTTTTCCAGAATTAGTCTCGTTACAGTCGTTACTTTTGGGACAGACTATGTAAGAATAAAAACATATAAAAATAAAAATATAAATTGGTTAAAGTTATACTTAATTAAATTAAAGTAATAAAACAAACAAATAATAATGAGTGTAATATTTCATACCTTTGTATCTGTTTTTATATCTGTATACTTATTTAACATAAAATATAATACACAAAAATATGAAATATGACTATCATGCTCATTGTTTTTTCATTTGTTTTTATTGTTTTATTTCGGTATTTTGCTGATATATTTATTGTGTGTGTGTGATTTATTTGTGAAACTTCAAAAATTGCAGCAAAGTAATATAATAGTAGATATAATTAATTAAAAATTTTTGTATTATATTTGTATAGAAGACAAAGTGCACATGTAATGTTCGTTTGTACTAGATTAATATAGCATATGCCATATGCTAATCACATTAGCATAGATAGCCAAAACTATTTTGAGTTAAAAGATACTTTGGTTGGTTCTACTATTTATATTACTTTGCCATGTCCTATCATATCTTTTTTCTTATCGGTGCTTGTACACATGCGTGTATACATACGTAACACACATACGCACGAACGCCAGTCCAGAAATTCATTAGGGGTATCTGATATTTCTGGTGGGTGCTTCGCGCCGGAATAAATCATACGTGCGGGCGGTCGAAAGCGTTTTGCCGGTACGCCGAGCTTCTTTCTCGGTGCACACGCGATCTATCCGTTTTATCTCGATCGTAACATGGAAGAGATAGGGTAGGGTAGCGGAATACGCATGCGAGGGCGAGTGCGAGGATAGAAAAAAAATACGGGGGAACGAAGAGAGAGAGAGAGAGAGAGAGAGAGAGAAAGCGAGAGAGGGAGAAAAAGAGAGAGAGACGAGGAGGGGGCGGAAACGCGTGTCTCCAGCAGCGAGAACGAGAAAGAGGGTTAAACGTTCGAACGTGATCCCAGCTTAAACTGATCGTGGACATCGAGCAAATCTCGTTACCAAACTCGACCGTCCTCTCTTCGTCCTCGTCTACTCCTTACGCGCGGACATGTCGAGGGGTGGTTTATATATACTCGACTTGAGCAGGAGAACCGTCTAAGGAGCTTCTCATTCCGCTGTTCGATCGACTCAATCTTAGCAGCATTCGTGATCAACGAAGCGTGCCGCGATTTCCCATACCTCTACCTATATAGATTTGAAATTAATTTTGATATATATTGCATGATTGAAAACTCACTCGCTTTGCTGCGTTTGATCATAACCGCAAAGGCGATGAACAGGTCTTTTTTGAATATTGCAATTGAAGATCGGATAAAAAAATCTGGCCGTCCCTTAAGAGGACTAATCTCATTTCAACAAAAGATAATAGCAAAACTTCGTACTCGCGTGGCAAAGAGATTTCGGGAAAAGAATTTTACTTGCAAGAAAGAGACAAAGCAAGAGAAAGAGAAAGAATGGAGATTCTAAAATGTTTTTTATTCTTTTGTTCCAAGTTTAAATAAACAAAAAATAATATAGACACTAATATATTATAATTGCATGCTGCATTCATAGAAAAAAAATATTAACTTTAAATTCAATAATATATTAGAAATATTGTATACATTATAATGTAATTATAAGTAATTTTATGTATTAAATATTTTATCAACATACGTATACATATATTTATATATTTAGTTATTTACATGATAATAGACTAACTTTTAAATAAGTTTTGACTAAATAGTCAAATAAAAATGAAGTTTTTAAAATCAATAATTTTAATTTTTAATTTTCGTTAAATTGTTTCAATAAATAAAAATTCTTTAATGTAATGTAATTGATATTTATATAAATTTAAATTAAAAGAAATTAAGCTTTTGTAAATCAAAAAATAATTAAATAATGCCATTTTTGTTTATTTAAACTTGGAGCAAAAGAATAAAAAACGTTTTAGAATCTCCATTCTCTCTCTTTCTCTTGCTTTGTCTCTTTCTTGCAAGTGAAATTCTTTTCCCGAAATCTCTTTGGCATTGTGAGCCGACACGAGTGTTGGTGTGTATAATAATAATTTATTATTATAATATTCAGCCAAACGCAAACTGCGCGCCGCACTTTTGTCGATCTTGAAACAC